AATGGGGGGTGGGAGGTGGCAGGAGCTCAGGGCACCTGCAGAAATACCATTTTCCATGAAGCTTTCATTCTTAGCAGGGCCAGCGCAGCGCTGGTTGATGGGCACAGCCCAGCTGCCACGTTTGCCCTTGCACAAGCGCAGCTCAGTATCGTGTGGAGTTTAAAAGGCCATCGATAAACACCGTGCTGAGTTTAAAGGCCATCGATAAACACCGTGCCCCGCCACGAGCCTTTTCATGTGCTACATAGAACCAAAGGCAGCCAGACTCTGCCATGAAAATTAGAGCCACACAGATAAACCCCTGCAGACCCAGATAGTCTTCAAGTTAAGCAGCTAAAATTAATTTTTGCTGAAGCGGCTTGTGACAGCCCACCCTGTCTCCCCAGCCCAGCTCCACAAAATAATCCCCTCCAGTGAGAAGCACTTTTATAGAGAGAGGCTCCGAGCAGCATCACCAGAGCTGGGACAGGAACAGGTGAAAGCCAAAGGGGTTAAACTGGTTTTTGCCCACACATTTCCTAGCAGAGCCCCCAGCAACTCCAGTCCCTTTTATGAGGACACAAGTCCCCAAGCCAGTGCTGATGGGGACCAGAAGGTGCCACTGCTGTACCCAGAGCATCGCTGTCTCTCCAGGTTGTGGCAGACATCACATGGGGCACACGGGGCAGGGGGGAGCGGAAAACAGCCTTGAAGCACCACAGCGCCGTGGGGCTGCCGGCGCATCTCAGCATCACCCGTCTCGTCTCGGCGCATCTCAGCATCACCCATCCCGCTGGCTGTGCTGGCCAGTGAGGGTCCTCACCACAGACACAGTGAGTAAGAGAGAGAGTCAATGGGAAGGCTCAATGTTTCTCCAGTTCACAGCTTGGAGGGGGACCTGAGCTCCCCCCTTGCTGGGGTTGGAGGGACCTTCCAGGCTCCAGCTGCCCCAGCCCCGGCGGTGGTGGCTCAAGTGGCCACGGAGGTGGCCGGCAGCTCCTTGGCGGGGCTGGGGGGCAAATCAATGCTGCTGCTGATCACGTTCTCGTATTTTGGCTCTTCCTCCAGGGCAGCCTCTCCCTTTATTTCAAGGCTGAGGACTAACTCAGGGCTTTTTCCTCTCTCTGTGGCACCTACAGCATCACTGGCCCCAT